TCTTCTTCTTCTTCTTCTTCTTCTTCTTCTTCTTCTTCTTCTTCTTCTTCTTCTTCTTCTTCTTCTTCTTCTTCTTCTTCTTCTTCTTCTTCTTCTTCTTCTTCTTCTTCTTCTTCTTCTCCTCCTCCTCCTTCTCCTTCTCCTTCTCCTTCTTTCTTCTTCTTCAATACCCTTTAGCATTTCATGTAATATTGGCTTGGTGGTGATGAACTCCTTTAGCTTTTTCTTGTTTGGAAAGCTATCTGACCTTCAATTTTACATGAGAGCTTTGCTGGGTAGAGTAATCTTGGTTGTAGATCCTTACTATTCATCACTTTGAATAGTTCTTGCCACTCCCTTCTGGTCTGCAAAATTTCTGTTGAGAAATCAGCTGACAATCATATGGGTGCTCCCTTGTAGGTAACTAACTGCTTTTCTCTTGCTGCTTTTAAGATTCTCTCTTTGTCTTTAGCCCTTGATATTTTAATTATGATGTGTCTTGTTGTGGGTCTCTGTGGGTTCCTCTTGTTTGGGACTCTCTACACTTCCTGGACATGTAAGTCTATTTCTTTCACAATGTAAGGGAAGTTTTCTGTCATTATTTCTTCAAATAGGTTTTCAATATATTGTTCTCTCTCATCTCCTTCTGGCACCCCCATAATTCGCATGTTGGTACGCTTGAAGTTGTCCCAGAGGCTCCTTACACTATCTTCATATTTTTGGATTCTTTTTTTTTTCTCTTCTGATTGGGTGTTTTTTGCTTCTTCATATTTCAAATCATTGATTTGATTCTCAAACTCCTCTAGTATATTGTTGAATCCCTGTAAAGTATTCTTTATTTCAGTTAGTGTATGCTTAATTTCTGACTGGTCCTTTTTTATGTCTTCGACTTTCTCACTAAGATCCTTGAAAGTCTCATGAGGATCCTTGAGTAACTTTATAGCCATGGTTTTGAACTGTGTATCCGAAAGTTTGCTTTCTTCCATTTCTTTCATTTGTGATGTGTTTCTTTGTCTCCCCATTTTGGCTGCTTCCTTGTGTTTGTTTCTATGTATTAGTTAGAGCTGCTATGTCTCCTGGAATTGGTAGAATGCCCAGCTCAGGTGTCTGAGCCACTGGGCCCTATAGGATACAGTCTGTGTCCTATAGGGCCCAGTGGCTCAGACACCTGAGCTGGGCATTCCAGGTGAGTCCCTGTGTGGGCTATGTGCACAGTCATAATTGAGCATCACTGGGAGGAATTGACCTCCAGGCCAATTGGCTGTGAGGACCAGCTGCGGCTACATGGGAGAGCTGCTGCACAGGAAACACCCCTATGGATCAGGACTTGCATCAGCAAGGCTTTGGTGCTCACTGAGTCTGACCATTGAGTGTCACTTGTGGATGTGTAGGTTGTAATCTGCTATGCTCTGAAGCTGTTCAGTGAGTACATTGGTTCCAGAGCCTCCAGGGAGATGCAAAGTCAGCCACTGCCTAGGGCCACCCTGCAGGAGCTACTTGTATGGGGCTTGGAGGTGCCCAGGCAAGGCCCAGCTGTGAAACAAGGCAAGCTGGTGCTAATGCAGGGTCTTGGGCCTTATATTGATAAGGGCATGCTAACCCAGCTGCAGCTTGTTTGAGAGATTTTAGCAATGTCTGAAGCCTGACCAAGGACAGGCTATTCATATGCAAAAGTCACTGCAAACAGATTGGGTGGGGTTATAAATTGGATGGGGCAGGCTCTCAGGGAATCACCAGGGCAGAGCAAATAGATATGGCTGACATTCAGCACTGTGGCCAGGGAGGTCTCAGCATGGGAACAATGACCCCTGCGAGTACCTCCATCTGGGAGAATGCCGCCCCAATTTCCTGCCCTGATGCCAGACAATCCAGTTCCTCCTCGTATGTGTCTGGGTCCCCCAGAGCCTCGCCCTGGTGTTGGAGCTCAGAGGAAGCAGGACCTTGTGTGTGTTGGTCCTTTAAAAGGAACACCTGAGTCTCCAGCAGCCTCTGTGTCACTGAGCCCCAATCCCCACTGAGCCCATAGTTATGAGGACTTCACTTCCCAGCTCTGGGAGCCTAGGATGGGGGTCTGGTGTGGGGCTAGGACCCCTTGCTCCTCATAGGTGCCTCCACAGAGATGATCTTCCTCCCAATTAAAATGCCAAACGTGGGTATCGGTACAGCCAGTTCCATGCCTCTGCCCCTCCTACCAGTCTCAGAGTGCTTTCTTCTTTACTTCTCTAGTTGTAGGACTTCCACTCAGCTAGCTTTCAGGCGGTTCTGGATGATGGTTGATCTGTATTTTAGTTGTAATTTTGATGTGGGTGTGGGAGGCAACGATATAGGCATTTACTTCTGCCACCATTTTGGTTTTCTCGGCCTGTAATAGTTTTTCTATAAAGAAGTCTGAGTCCTTCAGCCATGTCCTTCTTCGAGATTTTCTCTATTCAGTTTTTCTTTAAAATCCATATGAATTTTAAGATGGGTTTTTCTATTTTGTCAAAAAGTCATTATTAACATTTTAAGAATAGTGTCTCACAGCCCATTAAAATGGAATGTCTTTTCATTTATTTATGTCTTTAATGTCTTTCAGCAATGTTTTCTTATTTTCATTGTACGTCTTTCACCTCCTTGATTAATTTCTAAGTAGTTTATTCTTTTTGGTGCTATTATAAATGGACATTGTTTCCTTAATCTCATTTTCAAATTCTTCATTATTAATATTGGAAAATGCAATTGATTATTGTATGTTGACTACATATCCTGGACTTTGCAAAATTTGTTTAACAAGTTTTTTGTTTTAACAATTTTGGAGGGAATCTTTAGGGGATTCTATATATAAGGTCATATCATACATATATGATATAGATTAATACTATATATATTTTTAAGTGACAAATAAAAAGTTTTAAATACAGTGCAAATTTCAGTAATTTTCCTGAGCCATTTATGAATAAGTTGCCAACACACTGCCTCTTCACCTTCAAATACTTTACTCTATTTTGTTCAAAAAAGATAATCTGGGCCACTGACTTCTCATTCACTCTCATGCACCAGAAGTGGCACTGGTGCCAAGACATCCAACCACGAGGTCCGCCAGGAAGCCAATCACGCTGGAAATTGGTACACAGCCTCCAGACCGCAGCTGAACGTGCCACTAGAGGGTTGGCTTTCACAAGTACAGTCTACGAAAAGACCTGCTAGAGCATTGCTGCACCCATGCAGGATATACTACTGTGGGCTTTGTGCTACTCATGCTTATAAACAAGTGGATCCATTACCCAGAGAATTTGCATTCTCAGGCCTTCTTGTCTTGTGCTCCTCTCTCCATGTGCACTTTCCAATGTGGATATATATAGAACACCTCTGTATGACCTTCATATTGACAAAAAGATTTACAGGGGCCCTGGCCAGACAGCTCAGTTGGTTAGAGCATCCACCGGCTACAACAAGATTGCAGGCTCGGGGAGAACCAAGATGGCGGCGTAAGGTACAGACCTGTGCGTGCTGTCTCCCACAACAACATTGAGACTACCAACTATAAAAGAAACAGCTGTCATTCAGAACCATGGGAAAGCTGGCCCAGTGGAAGCTCTACAACTGGAAGGAAAGAAAGAAGAGCATTGAGACTGAGTAGGTTGTGCAGAGGCTCCAAGAACGGAGTTCCGGAATCGTGCGCCAGGCTGGCTGCAACTGGATGCGCGGTTTTTTTCAACCAGAAGGGGATGCGGACGATCAAATCCACTGAGCGGGGGTTGGGGCGGGATACTAAGCTCCCAGAACCCTACGGGGAGAAGCGGGACGGCCTTGCAACGACCCGGAGATCGAGAGTGGCTGTCTCACAGAACTGCTCGCCGGCCCTCGGGGACTCGAGTTGCTGTGGAGTTGCTGTGACACGGAGAGGCGAATAGACATAGACGCGGAGATGCCATTGCCCTTGGCCCCTCCCTGGTGATTCCCGGGGACCCCGCCCTACTCAAATTACATCCTCAACCAAGCTGTGCTAGTGACACAAAGAGAACCACTGACGCTTTTGCAGGCCAGCCCAGCAGAATGCAGATTTCAACTCCTCGCATACATAAGGGACACAATAAAGAAGCAGAATCAGGTTTGGAGGAAGCCGGAGCTGGACACGGCTGGGCCGGCGACGTGGAACCACTGTACCAGCAAACGCACAGGCAGGCCCACCAGATCCAGTATCACATGGGACGCTGGGCGACGGCAGACAGGCAGTCTGTGCACTTGGTAGAAAATGAAATCCAAGCAAGCATACCAGATATTCAGCCACCAGGAACGCCTGGAGATTTTGTCCTGCAAGGAGCCGCCCAACAAAGGACAGAATGCCAAACTTCGTGTCACTGAGACGGCCCCCATGAGGCCGAGGCGGCCCCCAGTGAGGCTGGGACGGCCCCGGTGGGGGTGGGACAGCCCCGGTGGGGTTGACACACCCCAGTAAGGTTGAAACGGGCCCGGTGAGGCTGAAACGGCCCCGGTGAGGCAGAAACGGCCCCGGTGAGGGTGAGACGGCCCCGGTGAGGGTGAGACGGCCCCGGTGAGGTTGAATCGGCCCCAGTGAGGTTGCAGCGGCCGCAGTGAGGTTGCAACTGCCCCGGTGAGGTTGAAACGGCCCCGGTGAGATTGAAACAGCCCCTGTGAGGTCGAGACGGCCCCTGTGAGGTTGAGATGGCACCAGTGAGGTCGAGACGGCACTGGTGAGGTCAAAACGGCCCCAGTGAGGTTGAATCGGCCCCGGTGAGGTTGCAGCGGCCGCAGTGAGGTTGCAACTGCCCCGGTGAGGTTGAAACGGCCCCGGTGAGGTTGAGACAGCCCCGGTGAGGCTGAGATGGACCCGGTGAGGCTGGGATGGCCCCGGTGAGGCTGCGACGGCCCCAGTGAGGCTGCGATGGCCCCGGTGAGGTTGAGACGGCCCCGGTGAGGTCGAGATGGCACCAGTGAGGTCGAGACGGCACTGGTGAGGCCGAGACGATCCCGGTGTGGTTGAAACGGCCCCAGTGAGGTTGAAATGGCCCCGGTGAGGCTGAAACGGCCCATGTGAGGTTGAGACAGCCCATGTGAAGCTGAGATAGCCCCGTGAGGCTGAGACGGCCCCGTTGAGGTTGAGATGGCCTCGGTGAGGTTAAGACGACCCTGGTGGGGTCGAAACGGCCCCAGTGAGGTTGAAACGGCCCCCATGAGGCTGGGACGGCCCCCGTGAGGCTGGGACGGCCCCTGTGAGGCAGGGACGGCCCCTGTGAGGCTGAGATGGCCCCTGTGAAACTGAGACGGCCCCTGGGAAGCTGAGAAAAATACCACATGAACTCACTCATTTATGAATAATAAGAAACATTATAGACTGATGAACAAAAATGGATACAGAGGCAGAGCAGCAATGAGCAGAATGTCAAACTACAGTGGGAACCCTGGGGAGGATTGGGGGGAGCAGGAGATCAACCGAAAGACTTATATGCATGCATATGAGAATAACTAATGGACACAAGACACTGGGGGGTGGGGGAAGCCAGGGGAATGTCAAGGGGGAGAAAAAAGGAGACATGTGTAATACTCTTTGTAATACTTTAAGAAATAAAATTAAAAAAAATTTAAAAAAAGATTGCAGGCTCGATTCTGGTCAAGAATCAACCAATGAATTCATTAATAAGTGGAACAAAATTGATGTCTCTTTCTCTCTCTCTCCCTCCCCCTCTTCTCCTCTCTAAATAAATAAATAAAATCAATAAATAAAGATTTAGCCCTGGCCAGTGTGCCTCAGTTGGTTGAGCATCCTCCAGTACACTGAAAGGTTGCTGGTTTGATTCCCAGTCAAGTCACATGTCCAGGTTGTGGGTTTGGTTCCTGGTCAGGGTCCATACAGAAGGCCACTGGTTGATGTTTCTCTCTCTCTCTCTCTCAAAATCAATTTTTAAAAAATCAAGTTTGTCTTCTATTAAAATATACATATGGAACTATGGAAGACAGGAATGTTTGAACGCATGTCTCTGCAGACAGATGAAGGAAAACACACTGTTGAAATGCGTTTGCCTTACATAGCTAAAGCCATGAAAAGCTATAAGGATGAGTTTACCATTATTTCTATCCTGGTTGGAGCTCTAAGTGAGTCAAAAGGATGGAATTTGGAAAACTCTTCAGTAAATATCTAGTGGATCCTGGTAATCTCTTTGTGGTTTCTTCTGATTTCTGCCATTTGAGTCAAAGTTTCCATTACAGTTACTATGATGAATCCCAGAAGGAGACTTATAGAGTCATTGAACATCTACATAAAATGGATATGAATATAATAAAACAATTAGACCCTGTATCTTTTAGCAATTACTTGAAGAAATACAATAAAACTATATGCGGAAGATATCCCATTGGGGTGCTATTGAATGCTATCACAGCGCTCCAAAAGAATGGAATGAACATGATCTTTTTCTTTGAATTATGCCAGTCAAGTCAGTGTGGAAACTGGTGAGTTATGCTGCTGGAGCACTCACAGTCCACTGAAGCTCTGATTCCTCAGGGATGCCACCTGCACTTACTCGTACTGTTCCAGGTCTCAGCCTAACCCTTACCAAGATTCTGGTCCTGGTTTGGGGGATTCTGGAACCTCAAACCAATAGAATTTTCTTCTTTTCTAATAGGTGTAGGTCTTCTTTAATTTCAACTCATTAAAAAATACTTTATAGTTTAGGGCAAGGGAAGGAAGACTGGCATGGAATATTTTTATTTTTAAAAAATGGCAATGTGCCCAGCTGGTGTGGCTCAGCGATTGAGTGTCAATCCAGGAACCAAGAGGTAGCCAGTTTGATTCCAAATCAGGGCATATTCCTAGGTTGTGGGCTCCATCCCCAGTAGGGATGCATGTTTCTCTCTCATCAATGTTTCTATCTCTCTATCCCTCTCCCTTCCTCTTTCTCTAAAAATCAGTAAAAACATATTTTTAAAATAGTGTTGAATGCAAACTATAATATAAAATAAAATAATTTTTAAAAAATCAATTAAAAAACATATTTCAAAAATGGCAATGTAATGGCCCAGTTGTGGCAGTTAAAAAAAAAATAACCTGTATTTACCATACCCTGAATTTGCATTCTGCAACTTATGCATGTATATTCTGCTTTCAAAATAGTTTTGCAAATTGTACACAAACTCAAAAGGTGGGAGCTTTTTAATAATGAAATTGCATTTATAAATTACCTGTATTAGAATATAATAAATCTCCAGTTATAGTCAATTACTCCCATGTTGTGCAACAGATACCTTCTATTTTGGTTGCTAATAAAGGGCTACACAACTCAAAAGAAAGAAAATAATATTCTGCACTATATACACGGTAAAACAGAGGTGAAAAACAGGAAATTAACACATAGGTCACTACATAATCACTATCTGAAATTTGTACTGTATGGATGTTATTTTTACAAATTTATTTCAATGTTCAAAAACTACATGACACAGACAAACTAAAAATTAATTCACATAACCATGATTCCTGAGTACCAGGGAATGCCAGACTTTCTCAGGTTTCCTACTGAACAAGGGGGACCCCTAACTCCAACTGCCCACCCAGAAATATATTCAGAAGAGAGGGCGGTACAGGTGGAGGCGCGCAAAGTTCAGGGCAAGTTCCGATCCTGGAAGGGCTCCAGCCGCTCCCAGGCTTCGGGGTCCCACAGGATTTGTCCTCCTCCGCAGGGAAACCCAAGTAAAACAGGCTCCTGCAGATGGCTAAGATGGCCCTGGCCGGTTTGCTCAGTGGATAGAGCCTCAGCCTCCGGACTGAAGGTTCCAGGTTCCATCCGGGTCAGGGCGCATGCCCGGGTTGCGGGCTCTATTCCCAGTAGGGGACCAGGCAGCCAATCAATTATTCTGTTATCACGGATCTCTCTCTCTCTCTCTCTCTCTCTCTCTCTCTCTCTCTTCCTCTCTGAAATGAATAAAAATACAAACAAATAAACAAACAAAAAGATTGCAATGTCCTTAGCGGCCAAGAGGGGATGACAAGTCACTAGCTTCCCGAGGCGCCAGGCCCAGGGCGTATCGTGCTACAGAGGGACTCCCGGGTTCCATCCACAGCCGATCCGAGAGCCTCTGGGAGGTTGAGGGGCCCAGGACGCTGGCGTGGTCCCGGCTACCCCCATCCTAAAGACCACTTGGTGGTTACCCAGCGACCCCCCCCCCCCCCCCCCCCCCCCCACACACACACCAGATAATCACCCCCTTGGAGGTCGGGGGTGAGCTGAGCGAACGCTTCCCTTCCCCTCCAAGAGCCACGTGGGAGAACCGAGGGGGAGAAGTGTGGGCATGGGGCCCACCCCCGGACCCGGGAGCTCAGCCTATTGCGTCCACGCCCCCTCCGGAGGGAACCTGCCACTTAGGTCCGCGTCTGCCCCGGGGCGCTCGCGGGTGGGGGATTGTCCCGATGGGAGGCCAGCGACGCCCCATCTGCTCTCCAGCCCCGCCACGCCCGAATGCCTCCAGGCACCCAGAGGCCAGGGAAGCACCGAGAGGTGGGGACCAGAGGGTAGGAGCAGAGAGCTGATAGATTTCAAGTACCATCTACCCGGTCCGGGCATTCAAGGACCAAGCCTGTGGTTTTTACAAAGTGTGGCTGCCAGACCGGAAAACCCGCCCCTGCAGATCGAGACCCTCCCACCGCGATCAGAAGGCACCTGCCTCGCAGATCCGGCCCGGATCCGCCCAGGCCTCCGC